TATAATATTTTTTTTTTTTTTGCGATACACGTATTCGTTGTATTGCTTGTCATGGTTCCAAGTCCATTCCAAGCATGAGCAGCAGATTAGATAAACGATATCATAGCTAAATCAAAGGGCTATATAAAAATATGACAGCTGCTACATGAAGGCAGACAGTATTCTTAGAAGAGCTCAAAACTTTGATTTTATGTATATAAATGTACATACATAAATATATACATGCACATATCTATTTATACTGCCAACTATAAAATAAACGGGGAATTCTATAAAGACAATTTAGAATATTATTAGAAATGAACCAACTATTTTAAAAATTTTAATATTATAATAACTAGTATTTTCCCAGATTCTAAAGCGAGCAATCTTAAGAAAATTAGTAGGTAAAAAATATGCATATATCATAGATAAATAAATGATCTCAATCACATTCTCTGCCTTACATCTTCTACTTCATTACATTTTTATCGGCAGCTCCCCCTTTCCGAGTTGAGCTTCTCAAGCTAAATGCAATCCTCTTACAATTACAATTATAAAAAAAAAAAAAAAACAAGACACAAAATAAAGGAAAAGCCAAAGGAAAACATGTCAAATTACAATCATTATTTCTGCTTGTCTGGCCCATGTTGCGATGCCCTGGGAAAGAATCGAAGTGAAAATCAAGTTTATGTTTTCGCCTGACTTGACAGAAATCAAGCACAAGACAAGATCCTGCCAGCACTTGATTGTGTCCAAGGACCCGCAGCGAGATACCATGAAAAGCCCCTGTGATCACAATTCCCTCGAAAAAGCAAAGAAAAAACAATGTCGATTTCACGCTAACCAAAAAAAAAACAACAGAAAGAAAAAGAAAACAAAGTAAAATCTCTGCACATATCATGGACAAGAAAGGGGTTTGCATTACACTGACAAATTGGTAAAATAATACCATAATTCTTATCCTTTTGCGCGAGCTAAAAACAAATATTGTATAATATTTCAAAAAAAAAAAAAAAAAAAAAGTAAAGGAGAAGAGAGAAAACGAAACCCTGAACCATAACGTCCCATAAACAGATGACAGACTGCAGAGCAGCAGTAGCTCCTGCTTCTGCTCCTGCCCCTGCCCCTGCGCCTGCGCCTGATCCCTCCTTGTGCCATATCTTAATGATTTGCATAAAACTTTAACGGAAATCTAATGAGCAGCAGGACAAGTAAGGACATTTGCATACAAGGATATGGTCGGGCCTGACGGGCCTGTCCCAAATGCCGACTGCTTGGGACCGGTATGATGCAACCATTTCTCAAACAACAGCCAAATGTCGTCTCGATGAATATATAATTAGATAGTGTGTGTGAAAGGTAAAGGATATGGAAGTACAACCCCAAACGGCTTCGTTCTTGTTGTGGTTAAGCGGCGCATCCCGTCTTGATCTAGTTGATGGTCTTCACGCACGACATAACATAGAGAGAGACGAACCAAAACCTATAACTATTTTTTGAACAAACTTCTTAACGGACATTCCAGCTTGGCTAGGGCCTTGACTTATCGAGGTCCTGTCGCGCACACACGCACACACACGTACAGAAGAAACCCACCCCAAGTTGGGTCTGACTCAAGGTGTGCGACTCACTCGCGCACTCGCGCATGCGCAACATTCTCAACTTCCAACTTTCAACCTCACGGCTGTTCTTTGTCCTTCTGTGCATATGCTCAACATATTGCAAGGAGCATTGGAATTCTCACTTAGTCCAGCAGTAGTAGTAAGTGACATTTGTTTTGCAGCCCATATCAAACGTGAGCCGAGGGTAGAGCGTGCTCGAATTGCGAAAACAAAATACGCAACCCAAGGCGCTTGATAACACATTTTTCTTTTCTGTTTTTTCTGCAAGCTCATTTCAACTGCAGGCTGTCAGTTCCTTCTTTTTTTTTCATTTTAACAAATACATATACATATAGAGTGCACAGCGCGCAAATATCCTTTGGATCAACACAGCTGCCCAGCACAGCGCGTTGTCTGTGCATTGTGCCAGGCTTTGATTGCAGCTACTTGAAAACGCAGCACGTCAACACAGAAGCCAAGACACACACAGAGCGAAACTGAGAGAGAGAGAGAAAGGGAAAGTCTATACATATACATCAACTCATATATACGCAGCCTAATGAGGCCCTTCATAAGTAGCATTTATTTTTGGGCATTGTGTTTGCCTTTCGCAAGGATGCAGCCAAGTAAGTGCCAAGTAGCTGAGTTGTTTTGTACGTGACTAACGTCTTGTTTGGCTAGAGATCAAGCAGCAGAAAGATCAAAATGGAGGGCATGAGCATCGCATTATATATATATATA